TCAATAATAACGGCATGAAGTTGTTGCGGTTTTGTGCAAACAACGGATTGTCTATTATGAACACCTTCTCACCTTCTTCGAGCATCGAAGAATGCCTCAATACACCTACCATCGTGAAACTTGTATCGATGATCAATTTGATAGTCGCATCGTCTGACCTAAGATACTCAGTAATGGATGCTCGCGTTAAGAGAGGCGCAGAGCTATCAACTGATCATCATCTTGTTCTTGGCAAGCTGCACTGCAAGAAATGGAGTACCATACGAAGATCTGGAGGCAGAAGCAACCAGAGGATCAGATGGAAAACATTATCTTCGGTGAACACCAGAGGGAAATCTGCAACCAACATCGCACGTCTTTTGAACAGATCCCGGTGATGACCACCGATGTGAAAACAGAGTGGTAGCTCTTTAAGAGCGGCATACTCGAGGCTGCCTCCGAATGCTGCAGATTGAAATGGTTAACATGGTTTCTTAGGATTAGAAACGAATTTTCTGGCGGAAACCAGAGATTCAACTGACTGTGAACAGAAGTGTGCATTTTAGATGTGGTTTGACGATACGGTACGAAATAGCGCGTGTAGGAGGCAGATAAAACGGTGGCCAGTACGAAAGGTAATTCCTGGGAAAAGTTCGGTAAGGCACTGGAGTCGAATTTTCTGACCACCAACAACCTATTCTAGTATACGTCTCTGAGTTGGAGACAAGAGCAGCCTAAGCGTCCTGAACGATAAGTCCATGTACTTTCTTACCAAGGACGAGGACACACTTTGGCGATGGAGTGAATACTTTAAGTAATTCCTTAGCCCAAAGTAAGTGCGGGAAAACTCACCTGAAATGCAATCGGCTACGATACTATTCTTTCAGTAGATGAAGTAACAGAATCTCTAAAAAACATTAAAAGTGGCAACGTTGTTGAAATCAGTGAAATCTTCCATGAAATACTTGAAGCAATTGGGGAACTCCTGTCTGTGACACTACAACGTTTACGGGGAAGACACCGACGAATACGAGAACTGGAGTGGAAATACTTCTGTTCAAGATTACAGACAACTGGGACCACTCCAATTATTAGGGCATTATCTCTTTGATTCTCCCGCGAAAGGTCCTCGTAAATGTTGTGGAAATGAATACCTCGGAATAGTTGTCTATGCGATGCTAGACAGGACCAAAACACCCTTAACCTGATCTTTGCCTTGCGGCAAATTATTGGAGGAAATCGTAAGAATTCGCTCGTGCATGTTCACATGGAATTAAAAAAAGCGCAACAATCCATGGGCATGCTTAGAAGCATATTGGATTGTTACGGGCCTTGCAATGAATATGTACCGATGGTCTGTGTTGCGTCAGTGTAAACGGCGTTAGTTCGAAGCCTTTCAACGTTGGCACTGGTCTCCGCCAAGGTTCTATCTTGCCCCCTCCTGTTTGTGTTGTACATCGATAGAATAATCAGGAGCATCCAAATCGATGAATATATCGGCGTAGGAGATGTGGAAACGAGAAGGTTGTTGCTTTGAGACGATCTTGTTCTGTTGGCGCTACTGAAACTGATCTATAGCAATTGCTTGAAAGATTAGCAAACAATTGTGACGTAGCTGACATATGTGTAAACGTATCTAAAATGAAGTGTCAGTTGGTATCCTCTTTTCCTTGAGGGAGAACCGAACCGTTATTTCCGTGGAAAAGGTGTTTGAGAAACTCCTTGTCTGTACCATAAATAGTAAAC